TTTTTTTAAACAATAGTATTTGGTTTCTTAACTTTGACCCCATCCCTTCCCCGATTCATCTTATCAAGAGCCCCTCCCCTTTGTGCTAGTCCACTGAAACTCCCCCTCCCAATTTCCGTCTTCTTCCACACTATTTTTCCCATCTTCTCTCTCTCGATAATTTTAAGAAAAACAATAATATATGTAAAAAGATTTGGAAGAAATTGATAAAGAAAATTAAGTGGACTCTATAACTAAGAAAATTTTGTAGATCTGAGTTTGATTGCTTATTTTTACCTAATTTTTGAAGAGTGTATTAGGATCGTTTTCTTTGACCTCTCGTCAGGTTGAGCAAAATAATGTCCTCAGCTCTATTTTGGAAATACATGAGACCTTCCTCTAACTTCATATGCTATGAAAGATCTTTGTTCTGAAATGATCTCTTACACATTCAACATTGATTAAGAAAAGTTAAAATTGATGAAAACTCAGACAATCTCTTCTTTAATGGTGTTTGCAGTTTTGGGTCATAATTTTTGTGTTAGATTCGAATTCCAACTCCAAAACTTGGGATTAATCTGCTTGGGCATCTAAGTTTGGTTTGTAATTGGAAGGTGATAATTGTGGTTTTTTTTATGGTGGTCGGCGGCAATGGAGAAGAGGCGGAGAAGAGAGATTGGAGGTGAAGGTTGAGGGGTATATTTGTAATTTTAAATTATTTTATTTTTGAAAATTAATGACACATGGCATAGTATTATCGGTGCGTGATATTACACACGCTTTGAAAAACTGGTTAAGAAGAAAGTGGTGTGTCTTAGATACACTTTAGAAAGGTTAAGTGTGTAAGCTGATTTTTGTTCGCAAAAAATGTGTAACAGGGATTTGGTCCATAGTTAAGGGGATAACTTATGTATTTCGCCAAATTAGAAGGTCCCTTCACATGTTGTATGGTTGTTATACAACAACAAAGTAAACAAAGTATAGAGTACGGGTAAGTATTCCTTCATTTTTAACTAGAGATTTCGATTTCAGACCATAAATATAGAGTTCTCTTCAGTAAAAAGTGCTTTATTTTCAAAGTGAATCTTTCAGCGGGAACAAGGTAGTCCGTAAAAGGAATATCAAATACCGAATTAAAAAAAAAGACTTGAGATAGAAAAAAGTCAAGCTTTAATTCGGAGCTTGTTGTCAAAAAATTTTTATTTCGACTTTACTGGGCGCCCTTTAATTTTATAATTTTTCTAACTGCTTAAAATATTTTAAAAAAATAAATGAAGATCGATGTGCCGTGATGAACAAGATCAGTGAACATAAACCCAAAAATAAACAAAAGAAAATGAAAAACGTAGTTAGTGACATGAGGCCATACGTGTCTTTTACTTATTAAACAACGAGTGGCGTAGGTCCCAACCTACTTGTTGGATACGCCTAACTTTTGATGAATGCTTTGTAGTATGATTTATTATAGCTAAACAGTCATCCTCTTTATTTTATTTTTATTAACATAGTAATGACATCACCTTTAAGGTGTATGGTTGATATGATTCTAGTGTTTAATTGAATCCAAATATCAATTTTTTTATGGACGAATATCATTTCTCCGTTTTAACGTCATGCAAAAAATCGAACTTTAATTCTTTTTAACGACATGGGAAGTGAGAAAGGAACGCTATCAGTCAAGAGATTCTCCACAAGGGCGGATCCACCCTTAGGGTAGAGTGGCATGGTACCCGTTAGGTTAGTAAAATTATTATATACTTATGTTAAAATTTTCTTATACTATGCTAAATATAATATCCTGTTCCCCGCAGTTACAAATTAGACAAAAGTGTCGTAGCTTATAGACATCTTTTAAAGTTTTTCTTGTGCGTAAGATTCAAGTTCGAATTTACCTTGAACCTTGTCCGACTCCCCTTATTCTTTGTGCGTTTTATTTTCTTTTGTCCCAGGCATTTCTCTTTTTGACTATCTCTCCAAGAAATTTGTCTTTTTATTCTTTTTTTGTTTTTTATTTTTCTCGATTCTATCAGTTTATCTGTGATCTCTAGCGAGAACACTCAAAAAATAGATTTCAAAATTTTAAAATCTCATAAAATAAGCATTTTTTTAATATCAAATTTCTGAGTTTTCTTCTTTAAAAAAAAACTTGGGTCTCGATCGGAATTTGGACTGAGATCAAATTAAGTTTTTTATAACTTCTTTTGTTTGTCATATCATAAAAATTCACGTTATTCTATGGTTGTGAAATTCAATTTACTTAAACTATGATGAACATTTCGTGAGCATTGCTTAGAAAAAGCATGAAATGTATAACTTTGATTTTTGGGAACTTGTAGTTTATCTAATTCTACATTTACTTATGCGAAGCCAGAAATTCATCAAATCTGAAAGAATTAAAAAAAGTCTTCGATAAAGGACGTTTAATATATGTTATATACATCTAAAACTTAATATTTACCTATATATAATGTCATTTTTAGCGAAGAATGGTCAATCCACCCTTAGAAGAACGTAGCTTTGCCTTGGCGGTGTAATTTACCTATTGAATTAAGTACAAAAAGCATGAACTCGTGCTTACCTAATTGTTTAGAAAAAGCATGTGGTATTCTATGATCTTGATATTTGAGAGGTGAGTTTCATATTTCAAATAAAAAACGCATTGTTAGTTGACCGGAATAAGTTCAAAAGAGAGCGAATCGAATCGAATACATATTCCTAACAAGTTCTATATTAGTCATTACAAAGTATATATATTAAAGAATATTTTGATACCCATCACCCGGAGGGTGTGGAGGGAGAGCAGAACCTACAGGTTCGGCCGAAGCTAGTAGTTTTAGTCATAACCATGTATTTGTCTTAAAAAATTATTGAACAAGTATAAATTATTAATTTAGAACCCAATAACTTAAAAAAATTAAAATCCCAAACTCATAATAACATTCAAATCCTGATTCTGCCTTGCCTCTGTCCGTCACCTTCAAACCCTAAATCTGCCTCTGATTCTCCATTCTCTCAAATTCGAAACTAATTCTTCCACCTCATTTTATGAGACATGTTTACTATTTATGAAATCAAAAGAATTTTTATTTGGTTGTAATTTTCTCCTATGTCTTGAATTATTAATTATTATAAATTAAAATATTTTTTAAGTTTCTTTCTAAAAATATAAATTTTATTTCAAAAATTTAAATGTCTATGGTCGAATTTATATTGAAATTATTAGTGCTTAATCTTATACTCCAAATCGCGTTTCATAAAGTGAAACGGAGGGAGTAGTAATTGCTCATCTCACTATAGTTCTCCGTGATAAACGTAAAGATAATAAGGGTGTGCTAATCACTACCTAATCACGGCAAGTCACCTAATATAATAACACTAATCTTCTAGAAACAAAAGACTCCCCGCCCCACACGAATATGCTTCTGTGCGCACGAGTGAACAATATATTACTCCCTCCGTTTCAATTTACGTGAATTTGTTTGACTGGGGTGAAATTCAAAAATAGTCAGATTTACAACTGGTCGTTCAAATATAGTCCAGTTTCAAAAGAAATCAAAATTTAGCCACTTTTCATGTAAAGATAAATCTGAGCGAAAACACTGTTCAAAACCTGGAAAATACGCCGTACATTATGCTGGAGTTCCAGCATAAGTATACTTGAACTCCAATATATTATACTGGAGTTCCAAGATAAGTATGTTGGAACTCCAACATAAGATGATGGAGTTCCATTATAAGTACACTAGAACTCCAGCATAATATAATAGAGTTCCAGCAAGTATACCGGTCCAGCATAATATACTGGAGTTTGGAGCACCGGTGCTCCAGTCTCCAGTATATTATACTGGAACCAGCAAAGTATATCGGTCCAGCATAATATGCTGGAGTTCATACACAGGTGCACCGAACTCCAGTATATTTTGCTGGACCGGTCTCTGCTGCAGCAAAATAGTGGCCATTTTTCATTAACTTAGTAAACGCTGGCTATTTTTGAATAATCAGTCTGCAAACTGGCTATACCGTGCTATTTTTACGTTTGATTGGACACATAGTTTAAGAAAAAATAACGATTTTTGAAATTTGTGGTCCTAAATAAGTCAAAAAGGGTACAGAGTATTTGTATGATTATAAAAGCTTCTTATTAAGGGTAAAATTATAAATTTAAACTAAATTACTATTAAATTTAGAAAGAAATCATTCTTTTTGGAACGAATTAAAAAGGAAATAGTGTATAAGTATCTGTCTATAATTTCCTTGATAATTGTGACTCAACTGTGGTAGAAGTGTGAAATTGAACATGTGTTTTCATTCATATAAAAACGTCGAAAAACAACAAAAAGGTCAAAAATTAGCAGCCCCACCGCCCTCCTTCCCCACACCTCGTAACAAATAAAGACACATTTCCCCAGCCTTAACGCGCTAACCCCCCATCCTCCTTCCTTTTTGTCCTCCTCATACACACTTTCCTTTCACCTTCTCCATTTTTTCCTTCTTCTCCATTTTTTTAAAATTTTCTGAGTCCTCTTGTGATTTTTCTAAACCCTCTTCTAAATTCCTCGGAACCAAAAAATTACTCCATCGGTTATTTTATGTGACTTTTTTTAAAATTTATTTATATTTATATAGCTTAACTTTTCATTTTATATGCTCTTATATGAATAAAAATATTAATACCAAAAACTTTGTAATTAGTGTGTATCAAAATTAATTTTTTTCTTAATTTTCGTACTTAATCAAATACTATCATATAGTCAAATACTATCATATAGAATAAAATTAAATGAATATCAAACTTCATCTTTTTATAAATGAATGCTATTATATTATTTGAAATCATTGAATTATTTGTTTGACTATGATTTTATCAAGCACCGCATCTTCTCTATCATTTACATAATATCCATAATATTTTTTGGACATATATTAATATATTTAACTTTCATATTGGAACTATTATTATGGAAAGAATAGTAATTATAGCAAGACAAACCAAACTTGGTACTACTATTCTTCCAACCACCCAATATATAGCCCTCATTTATTTCAAACCCCCAATCCTCATCCTTTAAAGCTCTTATATACTGGTTCTCCTCCTCCTAATTCCTCATCACTATTCCTTTCAAATTCTCTTCTATTAATTCAAATTTCTGCAACATCACATCGAATTTGGAGTTCTGGGTATCTCTTGAAAATGGAGTCTGAAACCTTAAAAGATTCGTATAATGATGAGGTGGAAGTCATCGGAAAATTAACCGAAGAATTCACAGAGCAGCTAAAGAAGAAACAACAGATGATAATCGAAGATCAAACAGAACAATATAATAATGATGACGACGATGATGATGATGAGGTTGAAGATGGTGACGATGAAGAAGAAGAAGAGGAGGAGTTTTCTTTCGCGCCTATGACAGACGCGCCTCCGATAACGGCGGAGGAGGTGTTCTACAACGGTCAAATCCGACCCCTTTTCCCGTTATTCAATCAAAACCTTCTTTTGTCCGAGGATGATTTGGAAAAGTTGAAGGAGCGATCACCGGTAAACAAGATATTTATACAAACAGAAGAAAATTCTCCGGCAACTTCCTCTTCATCGGAAAATCAAGAAATAGCTGGACCGTTTTGTGAATGGTCCAAAGATAATAAGGCAATTGAAGCTTCTTCTTCTTCTTCTCCTGAGGTATGCAAAAAGAGTAACTCAACAGGATTTTCAAAGCTATGGAGATTCAAAGACTTTCTTCACCGGAGTAACAGTGATGGACGAGACGCCTTTGTGTTCTTGAACCCTGCCACAACTACTCCGGCGAAGACAGAAGAAAAAGTCGAAGTCAACGAGCAAGTTTTAACACAGAAGAATAAAAAGAAGAAGAAGGGTACTGTTGTAAAGAAGAGCGAAGGTGTGTTAGCACATGAAGCTTACATGAAGAGTAAAGCTAAGGATGAAGATCGCCGGCGATCGTATCTTCCTTACCGGCCGGAGCTCGTCGGATTTTTCACTAATGTGAACGGCGGATTAACGAGGAACGTACATCCATTCTAACAAGGCATAAAAATTGGTGCAATGGAGTTAGTCTTAAGTTATTTTAGTTTTTTTTTTCTTGGGTTGATGAAATCTTTAATTTTTTTTAATATTATAGTGTAGTTGGTTTTGGAAGATATGTTGTCAATATTATTAGGTCGGTTTGATTAGATCAATATGGCTTAAGCCTTAAGGGATATAGGTATAAGTTGGCATTTCCCCCCCTTATTTGAGCTTTGTAAATCTTAATTTACCATTTTGGTTTTACTACTTTTGCAAACCTTTGACCATCTATTGGTGGTTGTATAATTAATATTTACATATGATAAGGATATATTATGCATTCAATTTTAACAAAAGAAATGAATTAGATTTATAATTGCATGGATATGAGTTATCTCAAAAGAAATCAATGCTAACTTGTATAAGATGGATTCATTTAGGAAATACCAACAGGTTGCGATTAAAATATTATTGTTACACTTATATTAGATACAAAGGGTCATATAGTAGATTTTATTTTGGTTTTATGACCACATACCTAAAATAGTTTTTGCAATGGACAAGTATAAAGTAATTATTATGTTTTTAAAATAAAATACTAAAAAATAATTTAATTTTAAATTTCTCATATAATTACTATGACATGTTTTTATAGTTACATTTTAAATATCAAAAGTTCTGTAAGTCCTTTTTTTTAAAGTTCCATATACATTTGAATAGAGGGATTACTAAAATGACCAAATTGGTCATGGTGACAAGAATTTTGAAACTTAGGCTGATCTATTTTGAGCCGTCAAGAAAGTACTCTTGCCAACCATGTCGTTGTCTAATGCAGGTTTTTGGAGTTAATTTTCACGAGCATTCTCTGAAGTATCCTCCCAACTTCAGTCAGAAAACTTTGAACATGTAGAAAAGCACATGGGCTGCTCTTTAATTTTCAAATTATATGTTATACACCCCAATTCTTTTCAGAACAAAAACAATGAATATTATTAAAATAAAAAATAAGTCTTAAAAAAAAAAGGAAACAAAAGGGACCACTGCTGGAATCTAAAGTGGTGTATTAAAAGGGCGGACAGTGTATTCATTTGAACTTCAAGGAGAGGGCATCTTGAAATATTAATTGGGCATACATGCTTGAGCCGACCATGCACAAAAGAGGACCAGAATTCCTCCGACCAAACATTTACTAGTGTAAATTTTGGCAGGTAAAAATCTTCTCTCGTGTCGTTCAAATGTAAGGAGATGGTGGCATTTATTTGTCTGGGAACATAAGAAGCATCAAATTATCTTATTCCATCTGTACAGTAGACTCTAGGCTCTGAATCTTTTTGAAAGAGTTGTCCCATTTATAAAAATTAATTTAGCTCAAATAGTTAGGATGTGGGAATTGAAAAATTGTAATTTTCAATGTGATGTGATGACCTACCATGTCATCATGCTATACGAGGACTATTTGGCACATATACTTGCCATGTGTAATAGAGACTAGCTCTTGGTGAAATATTCTAGAACTATAGAGAGTTTTCTTGAGAAAGCTCTAGATATTTATAAATTTGGTAGGAAGACTCTATTGGAAAGCCTTGGAATGTTCTAGTCATGTTGAAGATTTTAGATGGTGTACTTATTTGTAAATATGGAAGGACTTGTGAAACAATTATTATTTACACACTAGCCCTACGTGACTAGTATAAATATGAGGCATTCATTTATAACTCACGAAGCAAAACAATCAAGTTCTCTATGATAAAAAGCTTCCTTTGACAAATTTTTCCTGCCTATTTTATCTGACATTCCCTTAGCGGTCTTGAATGTAGTATTTTAGGCTGACTTGGCATAGCAGAATCGTGAGCAAGTTGTCAAGTGTCGCACGTACTTTTAGTTTAAGACTAAGGACGTGACATCAAGCTCGTAATATTATAGATCGAATTGTATCCTCTTAACCGCTAAACTTTCTTATCTTATACTTTGATCCTATCAAGGAGAGAAGAGATAGCTTTTCGATAGTTCTTTTGGGAGGGGAAGTAATGAGCCAAGCAGTAGCAGTGACAGTTAGTTGGTTAGGTAGTTAATTGGTTGTAACTTAAGCTTATTATGATTAGTGATAGAATTAGTTAACTATAGCTAGTGGTTGAGTTAGTTCTATTTTTCTTTTCCTACATATACATGTACATGTACATGTGGATTGTAATAGTAAGATTTCAGTTGAATCTTTGGAAATGTTCCCTCCATTTCACTCCAACCTCATTCTCTGCTTTGGCGATATATTCATCTTTAGGAATTCTCTTCTATTCAGCTCAAATCCATGGCCGAGCATCATGGATAGCTGAATTTGACATGGTATTAGACCCACACGGTCATTATTGTGGTCTTCTTCTTCTTCTTCTCAAATTCTTTTTTATAAGTTTATTCATTGGACTCATTAATGGAGAAAATCGATAATACTGAGCCCGAGAATTTGAGCCATAATCGTCCTCCTTTTCTGAATTCGAATGATAACTCAGGTGCAATTTTGATTTCCTTACAACTATGAGGACCAGAAAATTACTCCATTTGAAGTCTGGCGATGAAAATTGCTATCCTAGGCCGAAATAAGCTAGGGTTCATTGACATCACATGCAAAAGGGAGAATTACAGCACGAACCTCGTCGATCTCTAGAAGCGATCAATGCGATAGTATTATCGTAGTTAATGAAATGTGTTTCGCTAGATTTACTCAGTGGAATAGTCTATTCCTAGAATGTCAGTGTGGTTTGGAATGACTTGAAGGAGAGGTTATACCAAGTTGATTGCTCTAGAATTTTTCAGATTCACAAAGAAATCGTCACTGCAAGTCAGGGAACCAGCTCGATCTCAACTTATTATTAAAAATTGAGGCTGTTTTGGGCAGAATTTTGATAATTTAGTCCCAATTCTAGGATGTGATTGTGCAAAATCTCGTGAATTTGTTCAATTCATGAACAAGCACATAGCCAACTCTTGATGATGGTCTGTGTTCCATCTGTGAACAAAGCTTATCCTATGTTAATAGAGCGTGAGAGTCAAAGAACTATGTTTAACACCTTTACCATTGTTGATGGGGGTGATGGCTGCACTGATGACAACTAGATTTGGGAGTCAACGGAGCAAAAGAAAAATTACAATCTTTAATGTGATGTTTGTAAATTGAAAGGTCACACTAAAAAACCCCGTTACAAGGTAGTAGGATATCCAAAGAATAACAAATTCAGGAAGACGTATAATCCATAGGCAACAGTTAATCGAGGTGTCACCAAGTCATGAGCATCTAGACAACCAGTCTAAGAAATATTGTCTACAAAAGTCTGTGTCTAAATATCAATACAGAAAAGAAAGATATCAAAGAAGGAGAATAAGGACTGCGAATGCTGGTAGCTACCTCGTAAGTCTTTGATACTCGACTACGCACGAGCTCAACGTCCTCCATGACTGGACACACCTAGATCGGCATATGAAGTGTAGGGTATAGCATGAGTACAACCAACTCAGTAAGTAATAGAAAAAAATAAAAAACTAAGAAGTAGTGACGAGCTATATAAATTCCGGCAATATAAGTCAAGTCAGCTGCATATTTACTAAGTTCAGGTAGACCATATATAATATTTCGTAGAAGTTCAAAACAGTAATATAAATCAGCTAAGTGTAGCAAAAAATCAAGATAATACAACCTCTCAGGGTAAAAGTCACTCAAGCTCTCAATAGCTCAGAACTCGGCTCTCAGGCCTCAATACACACACTTAATAGGTACCTGCGCTCACTGGGGGTGTACAGACTCCGGAGGGGCTCCTACAGCCCAAGCGCTATAATTCACACAGACAACTCACGTGTTGTACGAAGAACTCATGTGCTATAATATCATATCAAGATTTGCACGGACATCTCACGTGCTACAACATCATATCAGGATCCGCACGAACAACTCATGTGCTACAGTATCAATACCTCACCCTCAGGTCCTTGGCCTCACTCAGTCATCAACCTCCCTAGTCTCTCGGGCTGTCAGAAAACATATAAATCAGCTCAAACAAAGATAATAACATGTATCAACAAGGAACAATAAGAGATAGAGGTGTGATACACAAATAAAGTCATGACTGAGTATAAGATAGCAATTAGTAGCTAAATCAACAAGTGCACGACCTCTACGGGTCCCAACAATGACGTCATATAGCCTAAGCATGATCTCTAACATGGATTTCAGTCCAATTTCTATAACACCGAGAGAAATATATAGCTAATAACAAGTTATTCCAATTTACGATTCAACGGGATGGACCAAGTCACAATCCCCATGGTGCACACCCACACGCCAGTCACCTAGCATGTGTGTCACCTCCAAAATAATCACATATCACAACATCCTGGGTTTCATACCCTCTGGACCATATTTAAAACTGTTACTTACCTCAATCCGAGCTAAACGCTACTCCAAAATGTCTTTGCCTCGCGAGCCGGCCTCCGAATGTCCCGAATCTAGCCACAAGTAGTACAATACAATTAATATAGGCTTAAGGCATTAATTCCACAAGAAAACTAATAAATTAGAGCCAAAATCCGAAATCGGCTTAACCCGCCTCTAGGGCCCACATCTCAAAATCCGACAAAAGTCACAAAACCCGAAAGCCCATTCACTCATGAGTCTAACCATACCAAACTTATCAAAATCCGACACCATTTGGTCCTCCAAATCCCCAAAATTCACTCTCCAATTCTCAAGCCCTAAACTTCCAAATTTCACCTCAAAAACTCACCAACTAGGTGTAAAATCATTAGGGAAACATAATTATTGAATATAAATAGGCTCAAAGATTCTACCTCAGTAATCACTTCGAAAACACTCTCAAAATCCTCCAAAATCCGCGCTCAAGGTGATAAAAAGGGTGAAAAATCTCGAAGTTTCGTATTTATATGTTCTGCCCAAGCCTTTCGCACCTGCGATTAATACTCTGCTCCTACGGTCCCGCATCGAAAATGTCGCTTTTTTAGAAGTCACTTGAACCCCCAGGGTTCGCACCTACGCTCTAGGTTCCGCACCTGTGAACTCGCATCTGCAGCCCTTTTGCCTCGTTTTCTGCGAAATCACTCACTCCTAGCTGCCTCCGCACCTGCGTCCTCTTGCCCACATCTATGCTACCGCAGGTGTGGGAAATCCTTCGCACCTGCAGCCCCTGTCCTTCATAGCCTTGCCCGCACCTGCGACCTTCCTCTCCGCTTCTACAGGTGTCGCGCCCCCTTTTTCTCGCGAAATCGGGTTTATGACATTTGAGAGGACAACACGTTCCCTTTTTGGGAATTGGGTTTGAATTGAAGAGT